AGCTGACCAAAAACATTCAGCTGATCCACGAAATGCTTACTTTTCGTTCGTTTCCCCCACAAACAATGCTGATCGCGATAAATCGTTCTCTCCCTCCCCCCAAACCTCGTGCATTACATCTAGGCATGCACAGTCACCAATGTTTTTCTGGACCAAGTTGCTCTAACGCAACAACAAAGCACTAGCTTAGCAACAAGCACAATAACAACGGTGAGCGCAGCTCTCACAACAACGACTACAACCACGACTTCAGCAATCACAGCGGTTTCACAACGCAGTTCACCCACACCTGCACAACGGCAATTTCGGCACCAGCCCAAACCAAGTAACGCAGCTCAGCGCAAGTTGACCTACTTAATCCAACAACAACATTGACTCAAACGGGTATTGATAGGTACATACAAGTTAAACGAAAATTAAGCCCACAGCAGAAAAAATTGCAAATCCATCAAAAATTGCAAAAACGAAAACCACTGACATTAACCCTATACTGGGAAATAAGTTTGCGATTCTGGGCAATGAATGTGACAAAGAGCCGAATGAAGTTTCTAAAGCCAAACCCAAACCGCCCCAATTTATTTACGAGAACAAAACTGTAGTGAGCTCGTGAATAAATTAACTCAGCTTATTGGAGACAATGGGCCGTATGAATAAAAACTAAGCAATTGCTTTTTCTTAAAATTTCATACCTTTTACTTCAATTTTGTTTGAATAAATTGAGTAAAAGATCTGAAATTTTAAGAAAAAGCAATTGCTTATTTTTATTCATACGGCCCAATACGTTCCACGTAACGTCAGTTACCAAGGGCAACATTAAAGAGACCAAACTTCAGATTCTAACTGAAGAAAATTACCGGTTGGTAACCAAACGCCTTAATGACGATAAGAATAACCTCTATACGTACCAGTTCAAAAGCAGCAAAGCACTGCAAGTAGTAATAAAAGGTATAGAATCAAGTGTACCCATTGGTGATATTGCTCATGCTCTAGAGAAGGCAGGATTTGCTGTTAAAAATGTTGTCAATATTATCAACAGAGCAAAAATCGCTCAGCCTATGTTTAAGGTAGAACTTAAGCCAGAAACAAAGCCAATGAATAAAAACGCAGTGCACCCAATCTACAACCTATGATACCTTCTACACCGAAAAATAACAGTGGAGGAGCCGCACAAGCGGAACGGTCCCGTACAGTGCACAAATTGTCAAGAATTTGTTAATACCAGAACATACTGTACCTTGCGTGCAGTGTGTGTTGCCTGTGGCGACCTTCACGCTTCCGCTTCTTGCAAGGCTATCAAAGCTGATCTGGCTGTAAAGAAATGCAGTATTTGCGGAGGTAACCACACCGCCAATTATAGGGGATGCCCTGCATACAAAGACTTAAAGTCACGCATGAATCAGCGCAACACAGCCGTACGCTCTTCCAACTCTCCAACTAGCTCTTATACATACCAACACCTCACGTCATCAACCACTACACCAGGAGCCTTTTTTGCCAATGCGCAGCGAGTTCCCAACATTTCTTTTGGCGATGCATTAAACTAAAAACGCAGCCAAGCACGGCGAAATCAAACTCCAATCAAGAAACATTTGCAAATATTCAAAGGAATAATACTGAGCAAATGCAGCCAAACCCCCCTACTTGTGGAATAGAAGGAATGATATTGAATCTTACCCATTGTATGACTCAGTTCATGTCTACTATGCAAAATATGATTCAAGACCTCATAAAGACTCAAAACCAATTGTTGCGTAGATTAGAACTCAGTCAATTTCTCACTGAATATAACATTGATATTATGCTACTGTCCGAGACACATTTAACAAATAAATATAATTTCTGCATACCTGGATACAAATTCTATGCCACAAATGACCCAGATAGTAAAGCTCATGGAGGCACAGCGGTGCTGATTAGAAATCGCCTAAAGCACAATATTCTAGACTCAAAATCAACAGCCTGTCTGCAAGCAACTACCATATACAATACAGTTATACAATACCATTATAAACAGGCACAATAGACTAGAGGTCACATCTCCTGGTAAACCTACTTACTGGCCTACCGATATAAAGAAGATACCATACCTAATAGACTTCGCAATATATGTATATGTATATGTTTCTTACAGAAATAACACAACAGCAGAAACTCTACCTGAACTATCATCCGATCACTCCCCTATATTAATAAAACTATATGAACAGACCCAAAATATCGAAATAGAGCCTCGTCTCGTGTTTCAGCCAAACCGTCCAACGAACAACTTCAGGCTGCCACGGCTAACTAAAAATACAAATGAGCTATACACACCTAGCGAGACGAACTCTTTAGAAGTAAAAGCTATAGTAAAGCAGCTAAATCCAAAGAAATCGCCGGGTGCTGATTTTATGATTCCGAAAATGCTAATAGAGCTACCGAATGTTGCACTAGCAATTCTTTCTGACCTTTTCAACGCTATCTTCAAATTCGGTTACTTGCCGAAATCCTGGAAAAGGTCAAAGATAATCATGATAGCCAAAAGAAAGACGCAACACAGCCGTTCTCATACAGACCAATAAGCTTACTGCCCTGTCTTTCCAAAGTATTCGAAAAAGTACTCTTATCAAAGATATCTCCGTTTCTCCATGAACGCAATTTAATACCAGCACACCAATTTGGCTTCCGAGAAAAACATGGTACAATTGAACAAGTTAATCGAATTACAAATGAAATCAGAAAGGCATTTGAGCTCAGAGAGTACTGCTCTGCAATTTTCCTCGATGTGGCACAAGCATTCGTCAAAGTGTGGCACGAAGGTCTTATATATAAAATTAAAAAATTGTTGCCGCCGGAATTCCACAAAATATTTGAATCATACATAACTAACAGAAGATTTGCTGTAAAAGTATCTAATTTCACTTCAAAAGACATGTCGATAACGGCTGGCGTTCCTCAAGGAAGTGTACTCGGGCCTATGCTGTATATCATCTACACTTCAGATATTCCAACTAGCAAGGATATACTCACATCCACCTTCGCTGATGATACCGCCTTAGTAAGTCGTAATAAACGTCCCAACAGAGCTTCAAGAGTACTAGAGGAACATTTACTACGCATAGAAGAATGGCTGGCAAACTGGCGCATAAAAGTCAACGAACAGAAGTGTAAACATGTAAACAAAAATTTTCACTCAGACCGCAAGTATGCGCCCGATCAAATTAAATAATGTCCATATTCCACAAGCCAATGAGGTGACATATCTAGGAATACACTTTGATAGGAGACTAACTTGGCGCAAACACATATCCACCAAGATTACACAAATTAAGCTAAAGTCAGCTAGTGTGAACTGGCTTATAAACAGTAAATCAAAACTGAAACTAGATTATAAAGTAGTTGTATATAATACAGTCATTAAGCCTATATTGATGCATGGTATTCAACTGTGGGGTACGACCTGTGCAACCAACATTGACAGGATACAAAGATTCCAATCTAAAACGCTAAGGACCTTGACGGGAGCACCGCGGTATGTTCGCAATGAAAATATACATAGGGACCTTGGTATACCGATGGTTAAATCTGTAATCGACACCAGCAGAGAAAAATATAAAATAAAACTGCGTAACCACCCAAATCCAATGGTACGTGGCCTGTGCAACACAACAAATATAACACGCCTGCGAAGAAGAGATCTACCAGCCTTTCGTTGAGCGACGTTAAATTAACAGGGCGTAGAAATAAGATCTTTAAACTTGTAACGCTTAATAGATGTAAAATAAGCAGATCCAACAAATAAATGCAAGTATAATTTAAAAAAAAATAATAATAATTAATCGTAGCGCTTTCGACAGAAGCAATATTTTGATATGAAACAAAATGGCTTTGACAGCTAATGTAATTGCCCTTGAATGAAAAATATTGCCATTGAGCCACAATCCCTCCTTGACCTTAAAAAAATTGGTCAAAAATAGTGGTCTTCGAAAAAAAACATGCAAAATCCAACGGATATATTAAAAAACAAAAAAAAATTTATTTTTTATTATACCAATATTATAGATTTTGAGACGAGAACCTATTTTTTACCTGTGGTGTCGTCTTCGCGGAAATGACCATAAGGTAAATTTTTAAGCTACTAGCAAATGCCTGGCTTTCTTCGCAACTCCTTATAAGAACTTTTGCGTTGACAAATAAAAAAATAGCGTTGCTTTGAAAAAACGGTTTGTAATGTAAAAATAAAATAATGCAAAAAATATATTTTTTAAAAACAAGCCTTTATTTAACCTGTACAATCAAAGGAATAAAATGAAGTAGTGTACAAAAGATTTTTTAGCAAGAAAATTTGGTCAAGACTGCACTAAAATGAATAAAATAAAATAAGTTAAGGTCTCGTTAAAGTTACTAAAAGCCATTTAGTGAAAGGAGTTATTCACACTCTAATGAAAATTACTAACAATTTGTACTAATTTACTTCGTTTTTAAAAAAGCTTGTCGCGCGAATAGCAAACCGACATTTAAATATCTGCATACATACATATACATACATACCTAACCAATTATGCGTGTACGCCGCGTTCGACGTCGCGCTCTCGTCCCCCGCCCCTCCCCTCCTTGTGCAATTATGTACTGGTGGCATTATAACCGTTTAGAAAAAGTAAAAATGATAAAATAACACTAGTTCACTTCTGAAACTGCTTTTTAATAATGGCCAAGTAATGGGACTTATTGTGTATGGTGTTATTGCATGCAGTGTTACCACTTTGGTAAATTATTATTAAAAATGGTAGAAAAAATTTCGTTTGGTAAAAAGGTAAATTTTTTTCCATTTTGGTAGATTTTTGATAAAATATTTTATGCAGAAAACAAATGAAAGTTGAAAATTTCAGTTCTAGCTTTATTTTTGTTAGTTATCTTTATATTATCAGATTCTTTCCAAACGCTTTCAAAATGAGGTTTACTATTTACTTTATTACATTAGTTTTCGAACGGATTAATATTCACCTTTTTATGTATGTCAACAAAAGGCGAACATACCTAGCTGGTTTCAAAATGCATTTAACTGAAATCGTGGTGGAAGAATTGAATTAGTAAAAAGAAAAATGGACAGGTATGTAATTAGAAAATGTGATTGTATATATGAAATATTTAATTAATAAATACCGCAGATTTGTTGTACGAAAAGACGTCCCGACAGGTGCAAATACAGAGACGGACAGTGGCAGTGAGAGCAGGTTCACACATAGGCATTTTGTGTATTTTGCATGATTTACTAAATTTTGTATTATTTTAAGCTCGAGCGACGAACGGAAGCCTGAGACCAGGAGGAAGTTTCGGACGGAGTGGCTGGCCACATTTTCTTGGCTTAGGAACAAAAATGGCGAGTGCTATTGTATCGCCTGCGATACTAATTTGGTAAGCCACTACAGTCACCTCAAATATCACGGGTCTTTAAAAAAGCATTTGCGAAATGTTGCGAAGAAAAAAAATAAAATACAAATTAAACAATGTTTAAAAACGGATCAGGCCAGCTTTAAAAAGAAGGTTTACCATGCCGAACTAAATCTGACTATGTTTTGCATACAGCACAATTTATCTTTTTTGTTAATGGACTTTTTGCCTCAATTGCTAAGTGAATACTGTCCGGATTCTAAAATAGCAGCGGCTCTTAAATGCGGCAGAACAAAATCAAAGGTGTTGACTGATGTCTTGGGAGCTAAGGCAAAAGAAAACATTGTGTCCGTTCTTCAAACAACAAAATTTTCTTGTATCATCGACGAAACGACGGACGTCAGCCGTAAAAAATCGCTAGTTATTGTTGTGAGATATTATGACAAGTTAGCTCATAAAGGCTAGTACTGACTTCATAGCCGTGAAATTTCGCCAGCAACAT